TTTTTTTTTCCAGTCCCTCCGCCCTTCTAGAGGTAACTGCCACTGACTTCAGAGTCCCAGCACCAAAGCCTTCCTGTCTTTCCTGTAAGCGTCTTATAACGTGTATTCTTTCTTCCCAAAGAAGGTGAGGTCGACGATGGCTTCCTGCTCTGATTTTCTTCCCAGCACGTTTCCCTGGTAGACGCTGGGTAGGGAACAGGCCTCCCGACGTTTTCCTAGATACCTCCGGACTTTGTGGGGCGCCTGCAGCTTCAGTTGTAAGGAGGCCGGCCGCGCCCTGGGGGCTGCTCTGGGCTCCAGCCCTGCCGCCCCCCTGAGCCGGGGCCCCAGCCGCCCCGGGGCTCTCGGACCTGCCCAGCCTGGCACGCAGCCCGCAGCCTGGGGGGACGCCCGCAGCCTGGGGGGACGCCCGCGGGGCCCGGGCAAAGCTAACTCCCTTTTCTTTGTAGATTCTGCCGACAGGCAGGGTCCTTCTCGGTGAAGTGTGGTGTTTCCTCCCAGAGGCAGCTCTGAAGTCAGGCAGCACACTTACCCCTGGCTTAACTCCTTGGATACCTAGAGCAATTGTGAGGTTTCTGTGTCTGGCGGGGGGTGGGGGGGACACACGTTTACACGTAGAGTGTACTTAATAGGTTCATTTCCAAGGCAGAGGGGTAACTGTCAGAAACACTTTCTTTTCCTTTTCATAGGAGGAGTAGCCCCTTTGAAAGGTGACTCTGCTGCCTTAGCAGAGAGACCACGTATTGCTGGAAATGTGCCGTGTATGCTCGGAGGACAACCTGTAGTGTTTACCCTTGAGGGAAGCTCAGAATCTGTGAGCAGAATAAAGCAACGACCCTGTGATACTTTTTCTTATTTAAAGTATGTAAGCGTCTATGCTGTACTGAACTTTAACTAGGAGACCATCGTTCAGTGCAAAACGAATCATACGCACGATATTCCCGCATTCCCAGCTTTTAATGTCTATGCCCGTGTGATTTCTAGTCATTTTTAATGTAGGAACGTACTGTTTTCCTTATCGTGGTCAAACCTCACTGCTCCAGGACCCATTTATCAAAACAGGGTTTTTTTCTTAGAAATTGTGAAGTTCAGTGAAAACAGGTTCATTCCAGGGTTCTGACGTGATTCATGGCTGTTTAGAATGAGAAAGAATTCCACGTGCATTCTGAAAAGACGGTCTCTGGTGAAGATTTGTGGAGCTTTAGGAAAAAAGACAATCTGGATTTACTCACTAAATCTTTAAAATTACGACATTTCACTTACAAAACTATTTTCGGAATAAAAGTTGGTATAAATAAATATTGCCGTATTGTGACATTTTAAGCTTAAAAGCTTTTTTTTTGCTGGAGAACTATGATGAAAATCAAGAACTTGACAAGCCAAGGCTCTCCCTCATCACTGCTGAAACTACACGGGCAGCGCGAGTGGCGTTTGACGTCTGGTGTGACACACGTGGCTTTTCTGCCACGGAAGGGTGTCCCGCCCCAGCAGAAGCTGACGGACACCCTGACTGTGGCATCTCTTCTGTAATCTGAACGTTGCGATTAAGTAAACGCGATGCACCTAGCACACATAAAATCTCTTCTTTCTGACACTGTTTTCCTCTTCATTTCCAGGTGGCCGATTTCCAAACAGAGCCCCTGCACGTGGTGAGCCATTCAGCTCTCGCAGGACAGGACTCCACGCATCAGACGGTGATTTTGGATGAGATGATTCTGAGGTGAGTCTTGGCCTGCGTTTTTGCTTTCAATTGAAAAGTGACAAAGTGTCCGTTCCTGGCGTGCAGCACGAGGTCCCGGTCCCCAGGCTCTGTGTGTGGCGCGGCCCTGGGTCTCGCAGGCGCCAGTCGTCAGTAAACTCCTTTGCGCGCTGCCTGGCGTGTGACAAAGGCTGGAGAAATGCCTGCTGGGTCTGTCGGTGGCTGCTGGTTGTAAGACTGCTGACAGCCTGCAGCATCTGTTCTGACTGTCGCTGTCACCCTGTCTCCTGGGATAGTGGCTGCCCCAGAGTGGAGACTCGGTGAGCGTTGGGTTGGTGAAATCTTCGGTGACTGTGCCAGCCCTCGGCCCAGCAGAAGCGCAGACGGCTCGGTATGTGGATGCTGGCGTTCAAACCACAGCTCAGCCTCCTAGCGTGTGCTGGCCTGGGACAAGAGTGACCAGTGACAACGGGACTCAGCATTGCACAGGTGAAATGTGCATAATTTTTGTACCTCCCTCGTAAGGTTGCTGGGGAACACACAGGAAGGACGTGACTGTGTCTGAGGCTCGGTAAGCATCAGTAAAGGTTCACATCACCAAAACCTTCGCTTTAATTTAATTTAAATGTCACGTTGATAAGCACAGTGGAAAATAAGTTCCCCCTGTGCGCCCCAGCCGCTCAGTTTCCTGCCTGGAGGCACCGCCAGAGGTGCCGAGTCTTGGATGTCTCCTGGAACTTGGCGCACCTACTGCCCAAACCCCGCTGGAAACCTCTCTCCCGTGTCCAGACCCTTGGAGGGGAACCTGCAGTGGGTCCAGACTAAGCGACACCAGTTCGCTTCCGGCGCACAGGAGCTGTTGTCCTGCAAGACCGGCGATACGTAGCCTATCTGACAGGTGGACAGTCAGTGCCTGCCGTCATCCTTGGGCAAGTGAAAAAAAGATGCACGTCAGGAGTTGGTGCTGAGCACAGGCCGCCTCTGCAGCCGCCCGGCTGTCCACCTGCTTCTCACCGTGTTTGAAGCCTCCCCTCCCACCCGCCTCCCGGAAACAGTGCACCTGGCTCACCCATTACATGTTGGTCCTGCCAACGGAAAGGCCTTCCGCGTTCCTGACGTTTCCCGGGTTCAGAGCCCCGAAGGCCCTGATGTCACCGACGTGCTTGACACATGACAGAACGCTGCTCAGAGACTCTGTGGCTTTTCCCTCCCTGCTCACTTCTGCTGGTTTGTGGCTGGTGCTGTAACTAGTCACCACAGCCTTGGAGACCCAAGAGGACAAACACGTGCTGCCTGACGGCCCCGCGGTTCCAGGGCTCGCCCAGGCGTCCCTGGGCTGAGAGCAGGGTGTCGGCAGGGCGGTCCTCCCGGAGGCCCCAGGCTGACGGGGGCTCGGTCCCTGCTGCTCCAGCTCGGGGCGCCTCCTCCGGCGTCCAGGTGAGCAGCCAGCACCTCCCATGTCTGGTTCTGTCATCATAGCCTTTCTCTGACGTGCTCGCCCCCTCTTCCATTTTAAGAAGCGTTGATTACGTGGGGCCTACCAGCATAGTCCAAAAGCCTGTCCCCTTTTTACGGTCGGCTGATGGCCCCACCCTCCTCTTCGTCTTGCAACCTACATTATTCACAGGCTCTCACAGTGTCTGTGGGGACCGCTCCTCTGTCCCGTAATCAGGACGTAGGAACCAAGTGTTCTGACTCTAAATCAAATGCTTTTTCGGTTCTGGACAGTATGATTTTTCAAACTAAAGACTGGCTTAACAGAAAGCAAGCAATCGATTCTGAAACAGTGAGCTTGAACTGTAGCCTGCAGGTGACGGTGGCGAGCCCACCCGGACTGGCGTGAAACTGAGATGCCACGTCAGACCCGGACCCGGGGGGAGAGCGGGAGACGCTGCTCCCAGCTCTGACTTTCGGTGGAGCTGCAGGCCCAGGGCTGGTCTGCCCCTGAGCTGAGGCTGCGTCCCCCTCGTGGGTCGTCGGGAAGAAGAGCGTCGTGGAAGATACCCTGTGTGGACGTGGCCTAAGGCCCGGCCCTCACCTCGTGTCCAGGCTTTGGCAGCTGAAGACCAGCGGTCACCGCAGTGCCCCTTGGATGGCGCAGCCCCAGTGGTTCCGCCCAGAGGCGAACAGTGAGGGTGTTAGGTGCTTCAGAAAATGATGGATAAACAAAAACAGAAAGTGCGTAGGAACAAAGAACAATTTGATGCACTTAAATGAGCTCGTTTTTACACTTATAATTACATTCTCCCCCTTGAGAAAATGCTCAAGTCTTAGGCTGTTTGACTCAGGACATCTTGTGAACCCCTCTGCAGACGCTCAGTAGGGGGTGGTATTAACGTCACACGTCAGTGCGTGCTTTTCTGGCTTAGGGACTGACTCAGTATTTTAATCACGTTTTTCATGATGTGGTATCAGTGAGAGTGCTTTTATTAGGAGAGAAAACAAACAAAGGAAAAATTAAACGGGGCCCCTGAAGGGTTCCTCACCACGCGCCCCCCAGGCTGCCCGCTAAGTAGACAGGACGTTCTTAGATTACGGCGCGTTCAGGCTGTCGCATCACGGTTACAGTTCCCTTCAGCCCAGCCCCTCACAGTGAACTGAAGCCAACGTGGATTTCAGTTCCTTGCTGATTTGCTGACTCTGCAGAGGTCGGTGTAAAATGTTGGCCTGGGCCGAGGAAACACCCTTAATGAACAAAGGCAGCATGTTTTACGGATCGACTTTTGCGTGATTCAATTTGCAGTAAGTATGAGAGTAACCTTTATGAACGGCCCTGTGAACTTAAAAGCAAGCTTGCATTCTGCGGTTAGCTTTTCTTTGCCGTCAGGACTTCCGGGCTGATGACCCAGCTTCTCTGAGCTCTTGAAACCTTTCAGCCGAGGGATGGAAATGCATGACTTTCTGGATGCCCAGAGTCATGTTCTAAGAATTTTATGGAGATTTTGGGAAGGCAGACTCTATTAACTTATCCATGTAATAATTAAGTTAGATGAAAGACAATCTGTACTTTCATTCTTTGCATAGGAAGCCAATGAATATTTAACTCTAAATCTGCCATTCTTTTTTAATTATTGAAGCATAGTCAGTTTGCAATGTTGTGTCAGTTTCTGATGTACAGCCCAGTGCTGCAGTCATACATGAACATAAAATTACTCGTTTTCATATTTTTTTCACCATAAGCTACTTTCAAGATATCAAATACAGCTCCCTGTGCTCCACAGTATAAACTTACTTATCTACTTAAATCTGCCGTTCTAAATACCTTTGTAGTTTCCAGAGGAAGTATTTCTCATCTGAAAAGCCTGTGTGAATCACTCAGTATATCGGTATTTTTTACTTTATTTCATTTTACTGTATTTTTGCCTCTCTGGGAATATATAAACCTTGGCACACTCAGCAGCTTCTTACGCATCCGTTACATCGTGTTCAGTCAGTATGTCCCCTCTGCGTAACCATGAACTATGCTGGGAGTACCAGCACTGATTTTATTTATTTCACAGCCCGGCCTTGGGAGTCTGAAGCACAGGGGTCTGTGCGGATAACCAGCGTGGAGGGCGAGTTTGTGCCCTGTTTCAGTGCAACGATTCGAAGGAAAAGCAACGTGAGTAGGTTGGAGAAGATTTCAAGGTTCCCTTCAAGCTTTTTGTCCAGTGATTTCTGGGGTAGGCAGTGAGGAATAACTTCATTGCTGTAGTATTGTTTCTTATCCCCCTTACACAGCCCCGTTTTATTTATCCTTTTAAATATTTGAAGACTCAGAGGTCTTAGAAATACAGTCATTATGGCTCATGTACCTGAGATTCTGCCAGATCACCTGACTTCACTGTCTCCCGTCCTGTACATGTGACCCGAGCGTGACGTGTGCTTTGGGCTGAAGCTGACGGACAGGAGCTTTCCCGTGAGAGCATCTCGGGCATCTACATGTGCCCGATGCACGGTGTCCCACTGTAGTGCCGGCCTGATGGTCGCTGAACAGACACGTGGACTGAATGGTCTCTGGTGGTGCTCAGGGGAGCTAAGTGGCCCGGGGGAAAAGGAACGGCGGTGACCACCATCAAGCGCCCCAGTGAAATCCAGGTGGAAGTTCTGCTCATCAAAACAAACTCTCTCAGGGGACCTGGGAAAGGGAGTTTTGTATCTTCTCAAGCTGTTGTTTGAGCTGGAAGCCTCAGCCCGTTCCCGGGTGGCAGCCCGAACGCCTGTGAACCAAACAGAGAAGACCAGCAGACAGGCTGCAGCACACGGAGCGGAGACAGACAGACATGGTGCGCTGCGTCTCTTCTCTGGTTCCACGTGGACGTGGACGTGGTCTGCAGGTACAGTGTCATTCTAGTGGTGGGTGTGGCTGAAGCAGCTTGAAGGTGACGCGTCTGGAACAGACCTCCCGAACCGTCTCAACAGTGGCCCGAGCTCTTTTCAACATACACGTGTCTGTGCCCCACTCGGGTGACAGACAGTTACGAACGATCAGTGACTTCGACCAGGAGGGGAAGAACGTTCCCTTCTCATTTATGCATCAATCTTTCAACTTAGTTCACATCAGGCTCCTGCCGGGAGCAGACCTGCCTCTCCTTACTGTCTCCCCAGGCCCCTCTCAGCACTGAGCCCCCAGCCCCATCCCCCGGGTGGGAGAGCTGTGCGCCCCGAGGCTCTCAGGCCGGGGGCTGGGGGGTGTGGGGTTAGTTGCTTTTCCCCTACTGTCCTACACTGGAACCTCAACCCACTTGTTGCAGAAGCATCTTTTTCAGTGGCGATTAGATTTCGGAAGTGTTGTGACTGAGTTGTATGACGGATTAAATCCTGCTGAACGCATTGCCTTGTTTCTTGACACGCCTGGAACCCGCCTCTCCCTCGTCTGGACTTAAAGCACAAATAACTGAAATATAATCAAACTTCTGGAACGTGCATTGTTTTTCGAATTTGCCTTCTTCTCTGAGATGCTTGAACTTGGGAACTCTAAGGAAGGCTGTTACCACTGATAAGGCTGGTGTGTTAGCAGAGTGGATGGGTCCATTGTTGTGGTGACGCTTTTAGAATAAAGTCCGTGGCCACCTTGTTTCTCTTAGCCAAGCCTAGGTTTTGGATGCACATCAGCGTGGTGTATCCCTGCTGAGTCACTCCTGCCTTTCATGTGGATCCTGCAATGTGATGGACAAAGACTGTGTTCTTGAAAATGCATTTGTTTTTCTATAGTTGAGTAAGCCTGGATGAAAAATGAGCCCCAAATGATCTTTAAACCGTGTGATTTCTTTCTTCTCTGAGTCAAATTTAAAGTAAACTCTGAAAGGAATGAGAGCTTAAGGGCCTACTGCCATCAACTCTGCCGGGCTCAACAAAGAAGCTCTGTGCACACGTGGCGGGCTGTGCCCCACCGCCCGCACTGGCGTTTGGTAGCAGTGACTTGTGCACTTTGAGGAGCTGTGCCCCAAGCCAAGCCGAAACCTGCTGAGAGCCTGACAGGCCCATACATCATCAAGCCCACTCAGTTTTGCACCCTGTTGAGCCACCAGCCTGGATTTAAACGCTGGGGTTTGTTGCCTGCTCTATGGGGCGAAGCCAGAAATTCCTCCTTGTGTTTAGCTGGGGCTTCCTTGTGCACAAAGCCTGGGGCCGTCTCAGGCCCTGTGACTTCCACAGTCTCTCTCTCTCTCATTCTTAAGCCACAAGACATGAAGATGTCCTGTGTTGTTTGTGACTTGAAGGAGAGTGTCCTTTTTAATCCGCAGCACTCTGCCCGCTGTCTGTATGCTCCGCCGTCGGGGAGGCCCGCAGATGGTCGCCCGGACTGTCCCTCGCCAGCACCTCCCACGTCCTCGCGCGCTGAGCTCGCGCCAGCCCAGGTTAGAGCAGCCCCAGGAAGGAGGGGCCCCGGCTGGGCTGCGGGTCACACATGCTTTTTCTCGGGGAGTCCTTGGCTCCTGGCGGGTAGGGGGCGTCTCTAGGACCAGAGACTGACGTTCACCTCGTGGCCATGTCCCCCAGGGAGGGTGGCGCTGAGTGTACAGCAGTGACTAGGACACAGCCCGTCCCCGTCCAGCAGGTTAGGGCTGAACAGTGGGGCACAGGCAGTGAAGAGGGAGCTCGGTGGTGTGTGAGGAGGTACACAGGGCAGCTCCCGGGGGCGGGCAGCGTGCTGAGCTGCCAGGTGAGGGGCGGCGGGGTGTAGGGGCGCCCCACCTGCAGGAGGTGCTCAGGGGGCGTCTCTGTGTCTGATGAAAGGGGCAGGACGGGGCGCGGGAGGCAGGCTTGCTGTGGCTCTGCAGCTCTGTCAGTGTGGTGCCTTTTTGGTTCCTTTTTATTTTTTAAAAATTTATTATATTACCTTTTGTTTGTTTATTTAGTGGGAGGTACTTATCTGTCTGTCTGTCTGTCTATCTATTTAATGGAGGTCCTGGGGATGGAACCCAGAGCCTCGTGCCTGCTGGGCGTGTGCCCCCCCCCCGCCCCGAGCTTGCCCTCCCCACCGCGGTTCCTCCCTCGGGCAGCCCAGTGCTCCAGTTTGCAGGCTGGAATGCCGGCTGGGTGCTTCCTGGGGGACTTGCCTGACCTGGACATCGACGAGGTTATTTCAGGACTGACGTTCCAAAGGAAAGACGTGGCCACCTGATGGGTCTCTGGAGTTTTACTCAACTTTGCACCGACCCCTGATGGCTTTTGCAGGAGCTGTGGGACCAGGGAGGGTCTGAGTCACTCGGAATCACTTCAGCTGGCCATCCCGAGAGGCCCACGGCGGGAGGAGGGGCGACTTGGCCAGAACATCCTGGAATTTACCAAGTGGCATAGCCCGGGAAACAGACATTTCAAGAGACACTTAGCATTAGCCATCCTGGATTAGGAGCACTTTCCAGGACGTGTCTGGGGCCTGGGCTGCAAATCATAAGTTGCTGTTACAGGTGTAAGATATTACGAAGAGGCTCTGCCTTCCAAGCGCTGGCCCTAATAACATCCAGAGCTCTGCGCGGCCAGGACTCGGGGCTGCCTGGGTGCCCGCGCCTCTCCCTGGTGGCTGACACGAGTGTAGGGCAGGGCTGGCTTTACCTGTGACTCACTGTGTGATTCTGAAGAACAGGACCCGTGGTGAGGGGGGCTTCCTTTACTTGGCAGAGAAATTGAATCCTAGTCACTCAACGTTGTACAGTTTTCTGGTAAAACATCATTTGAGGACGGGGTTGGTGTTCGTAGATTGGCTCCTGTAGTTTGAACAGACTGGGTGTCCCTGTACGCAGCGGGTCTTCTAGGCATCTGAGTTTCAGAGACTCCCCCCTCGCCTCCTCGGGCGGGTTACTGTACCCACTGGGGCTGTCTACGGCCCCCGGGGGTGGGATGGGCTGGGATCCCAGTGTTGACGATGTAGCGCGTGGCACAGGTGGCTGTCCCTGGGCTCTCGCTGGGCTGCGCCTGGGGCTGAAAGCGGGGCGGTGGGGCAGGACGGAGGAGGACACGAGGGCTGGAAGTGCGGAGGCGGTGGGGAAAGCAGGCGGCGGAAGGCTGCTCTCCAGGCGGAAGGTAGAGGCGGGTGGTTCAGTGCTCACGTCTGTGTCTCCTGAGCTTGGCATGTCTTCGATTCCCCCAGAAACACTCCCTTCTGCCCCTTTTCTCACGGCACAGCCTCCGTCAGTTTGGTCCACCCCGTCTGGTTTCTGAAGACGCTCCAGGGAGACTGGATTTGAACGGGGCAGGGAGCGCTGTGAACTGGGAAGGGAGGCGGGAGAGAGAGAACGGGGTTTGTGGGGGTGGGGAGGAAAAGAGAAGGTGTGGATGAAGAGAGCGTTTCACAGCCAGGGGCCGTCCGAGCGAGCCAGAGCTGCTTCATAGACCCTTTGAATTAGCAAGTCCGTGTGCGTGTGATTCGATGCTCTCGTTGGCATGGTTTTGCTTCTGTTTTCTTTGGGGGAAAAGTGGGATGAAAACGGCTCGCTGCCCTTCCTCCCGTCTGGAGAGGAGCGCAGGGCAGGGACCAGACCGCCCCGCTGGGGTGCTCAGTGCCGCAGCTCCAGGATGACCAGACCCGGACCCCGGGCGCGTGCCAGGCTCTGCAGCCATGAAATGGCTGCCTGGTTCTGAAAACCTCCATAAAGCCTCTTAAGATAATTTTAATCTTTTAAACTCTTAAAAGTTTTGAAAGTCAGAGCAAGCTTTCCTCGAGCTATAAATGAGACATGGGAAAAGTCTTAAATGTTAGAGCCACTTAAGATATGCATATACGGAAAGACATAAACTGTTTAAAAATGAAAGCGCACTTTGCTGTCTCGGCTCGCTTAGGTCTAAATATTCATGGGACGCATGTGACTCAGAAGCCTTAATTCTGTGAGCAGTGGGTCCTCGGCATCTGCTGACGCTAAAAGGGGCCAGCCTGTGGTCAGCGGAGCTTTGGGGAGCATCCTCTGTTTGATGGAAAGCACTGTTTTTTCTGTTGGTCTAGAATTATTTAGCACTTAAAGGAGATACTTAGAATTGTTTTTTTTTACCAATTTTTCAACATTTTTATACACACAGAAAAAGTTGAAAGGAAAATGCAATAAATGCTTATATCCTTTATGTAGACCCCAAAAACATTAACATTCACTGTACCTCCTCCCTTTCTTTCTCTCCCCCCATCTGTCTACCTACCTGTCTGTCTATACTGCGTAAGTGTCATTGTCGCTATTAACCATTTGAAAGTAAACATGTTTTTTTTCTATTAACCGTTTGAAAATAAACTGCAGATGTGATGCAGCTTCACTCCTGAACAGTCCACCAGGCGTCTCCTAAGACCCTTCTTCTACAAGGTCGCCGCTGTATCTAACCAAAAACCCCAGCATTTAAAAACACTGTCCCGTATCCAATTCATATTCAGATTTCTCCCAAAGTTCCCAAAACGTGTTACAGAACTTTTTTTTTCCTTTTTGCACCAGTGTCTGATCAAGGTTCATACATCGCGTGTGGTGGCGATGTCGCCCCTTTTGTCTTGTAAAACGTTCAGCCCACGTCTTGGATGCTCTAGGTCTGGGTCTGGGTGGCCCCTCATGGTGTCATTTAGCTGGTCCCTGCTGCTCCTGGAGTTTCCTTTAAACCAGATGTCCAGGGGTCATTACGTCCAGTGTAAAGACTTCAGAGGTGACGTGGGGCCCCTCAGAGAACAGCACCTCCAGGGCCCGGTGACGACCCAGCGTCAGAACGGAGCGTGGTGACTTGTTCACGGTGACGGATGGGTCTGCTCTCCCTCAGCAGCTAACGGTCCCCTGCCGGGCGATGCTCTGCAGGTACCTGCTCCCCGGCAGCTCCCCGCCTCCTTCCACCTAGTGCTTTTAGGTCCCATTAGTGGTTCCTGCCTGAGTCTCTGTGTGGTGGGGGGTGTGCACGCCACATTCCACCGTTGCTTCTGTATCATTGTTTATAGGTTATTACGTATAAAGAAACGTGTTCTCTCCAGCCTCCCCTTTTTTGAATATCCAAATGGACTCATGTTACTTATTCATGTTAAAATCTGTTACCGTGAATATTTTGTCTACTGTTCAGAATCCCCACAGTTGACCAGGAATGCCCCTTTGGCCTGTCTCCGGGCCACGTTGGCCAGTCCCATCCTCTGTGGACCGTCGCTTCCTGGTTCACTCTGCACTTTGCTCACGCAGACCTGGACTCAGCTGTGTCTTCTCTGAGTCAGGACTCCTTCTGGTGGGAGATGGTTCTGGGGAAGCCAGACACGGCCCTGGGGATGCCCACTGCTTTGGGGCATCCTCGTCCCCTGAACTTTTCAGTGGACAAAGCTGCAAATACGTATTTTTTAGAATTATGAGTAAATACGGAGGTTTCCAATTCAAATTAAGCATTTTTTTTTTCTTAAATCATTTTGTATTTAATCTTCTGGGAGAGATCCTCAGAGCTGTCAGTGTCTGGTCGTGGAGCACAGGGGACCCCTTGACACCACCAGACACTCAGTGAGGCCTGGCCGCCCCTATGCACAGCACGGCCCCTGCTTGATGGGGAGCACCTCGCCAGGGAGGCCGTGATCCCGCCACAGGTCCGGGCAGCACAGCCCCGTGACTGCCCGACAGCAGCCCCTTTCTCAAAGTGGGCCGTCTCCGGGGTGTCATCTGCACATCTGAGCGCTCCGTGCGGCCCGGCTTTGTCAGTCCCCATCCTTGCCAGCTCTTCTCCCCCACTGGCTCCCCCTTCTCCTGATAGCCCCCCTCTGCCAAGCTCTCAGCAGCTCCCAGCTGTCGCTCCTCCTGGCAGGATTTGCCCCCAGCTGGAGGAGCATTTCCCAGGCTCCACCGCCGCAGACTCGTGTTTACCTCCTCATCCCTGGGCCAAGAGCAACTCCCGAGGGAAACAGTCCCTCTGGGAACCAGTGGGACCGGATACTGACACCGTGTTGATCGTGTCTCGCGCAGAGAGTCCCCGGCCCTTGGGAAGCACTGCTCCCCACTCTCCATTCGTTTCCGCCCTGTTTGATCAGCGCGTCCGTCCGGTCCGTTAATACCTGCGCGCAGGGGAGCGAGAGCACGCTGACTTGCGACTTCGCTGTGTGTTTCAGGCGCCCGCGTGTTTCTGGCCTCGTCAGTTCGGGGTAGATTTTACAGTTCGCCCTCAAAGGGCAACGAGACGCCTGTCACCATCGTGTGCCGAGTGAGGAAGTCCACAGCCACGGCCTCAGGACCTGGGGAGGCGAGAATTCCACGGTCTCCCATCTCCCTTCTGGGAGCGAAACTCCGTAAACACTCATTTATCGAGAAGTGGAGGAGGGGGACTTCTGATACAGACCTTCTTCTAAAGGTGTCACGGCTCTGCCCGCGGGCCTCCCCGCGTGTGGTTTGGCTCACAGTGTTTCTGTGCCCAGAAGACACCCACCTGCACAGGGGCCTTGCACGCTTTGGCTCAGGGAAGAGCTGAGCTCGAAGTGTGTCTGGCTTCCTTCCTCCCTCCCTCCCAGGAACGGTCTGTGCACTGATGAGATAATGTCTCAGAAGCACTCAGCTCTTAAGAGCAAGGGACCAGAGGACGCAAGGTAGCGTCCCGCAGCCGCAAGGTGCGTGCTGCCGGGACAGGGTGGGGCGGTTCTTGCTTTCCAGCGTCCTTCACCAGAGCCTCGGGGGCCAGGGCCTTGCATCCTGCACAGCTGGTGAGGTCCCGTCCTCTGCCACACCTCACCTTCGTCCTTTTATCAGAAACAGAGACACACACTTTTAAGTAACTGTCTTGGGTCCTGCAGCTCCTAGGTGTGGAAGCTGGGGTTTGAAGGTGGATCTTATACTTCAAGTCCCCACACACACCTGTTTACATACTGCGGAGGGGAGGGGACCGTGGCACCTGCTTCCACCGCAGGAGACCCTGGGGAAGGGCTGGGGCAGGGCAACGTCACCACACCACGTGTGGCCAGGCCTTCTCGGGGACTCCTCTTCAGCCCCGGTTGCCCTGCATCGAGCTGTGGATGCAGGATACGCAGGCGGAGCTGAGTGCGTCCTGGGGTCCCGGCGCAGACACGGGGGCCACCGCGGTAAGGACTCAGGTCCTGACCCTGCCCTGGGCAGACCTGAGACCGCTCAGATGCCAGCTGAGCTGGGAAGGGGGCGAGAAGCAAGGTTTGGATGCACAGGGAAGGGAGACAGTCACGCCCTCTTCACCTGCGCTTCCGGCTCAAACGCACGTGGACGCACCGAATCAAGAACATTCGAGCCCCTTGTCTGTTGTGTCCCCGTTCCCTTCCTGCAGCCTGGAAAAAGGACAGGGGTGGCGGTGCAGCACGTCTCACCCATGTGAACATCCCCGCAAAGAGGACAGTCAGTGGCAAGGAGCACAGACCAGGACCAGACTAGCCCGAGGGGCCGAGCCCGGGTGGCCAGGGCCGCCCAGCAGGTGAGAACTGACCACTGAATCTGCTGTGTCTCAGCAAGGACGACCCTTGCCCTAAATCTGTAGGGTGCCTGGATTTATTAGTGAGATCGAGATACAACGTAACGTAGAAACCGTATGTGACAGTTTACACATCACCGGATACAGGCACCACACACCCACCTCCGTGGCATTTGTCACTCACCAGACAGTTACTCCCAGTGGGGGGTGCGCACAGAGCTGCTTCCCGACAGGCGTCTGCGATGCGGAGAGCGTGGAGACCATTTTCCATCCAGTCTCCGAGCTCCGTGGGGGTAGCTCCCAAAGCTTCGTGGCGCACAGCACGTTCGCTCTCCACAGTAACTGGGAGGGGAGGCTCACCTGTAGTGCTGCTTTGTTTCCGTCGGCCCACAGAAGGCTCTTCTGGCTTGTCCCGCCTTCCCTGGCGAGGAGGCCGCGCAGCCGGCCGCACCCTGGCTTTCTGATCTTCCGGCTCACGGCGCGTCCGTACGGCTGGGCTGTTTCCCCTCCTTCTGAATCAGAACTCCTTCCTGAAATCTCTAATGCCGCCATGCCTTAGAAACTGTCTTAAGAAGCATACTGCTCGCCCCACAGGGACAAGAAGTGCCGTGAAGTTTCTCCATCCTCACATTTAAGTTTCTGCCGCGTTGTCACACCAAGAGGACTTGCTTGTCCGGGGTGCAGCATAAGGGGGGTCCAGGCCCTCGGGGAGGGATGCGCTTGGTATACAGTATTGCCGGAGAAGTCCTTCCAAAGCTGACGGCTTTGAAAGCAAAACAGTAGCTAAGGATTACAGTTCACAGTTTACAGTATTACATAGTTCACTGTAGGTTATTCACTGTGTTCACATGTGTCCTCTCATTTTATTTTCATAACAACCCTGTGTGTCAAATGGGCTTCCTTGTGCCAAATCATATATCAGTGTCACCACATAATTGCTGGGAAAATTAAATGGTATCTGAATTTAATCACAATAAAAAAAGTGTAATTGCCCAAGCAACACCATAAAATGTTGCTGCAAACCAAGATAAAACGGGGAAAAATACTACACTCTGTCACTGGATGAATCAAAGTGTATTCCTTTGTCCTGTTGCTCCGAGTACTGCATTTTAAGCAATGTAATCACAGCTCAGCTAGAAACGCGTGCCTTTTTCACGTAACACCAGAAATGGCTTGCTACTGCTTTTTCTTAATTAAAACATTTGAATAGTTTCCTATACATGAAATCTATCAATCTGCTTCCTTATTGCTAAGCAGGTTATTTCTAGTGTTTCCACTGCTATCAAACAATAATGAACATTTTCCGGTGCAAACCTCTCCCTGATTTTGCATCAGCCCTCTGGGTAACCGTACAGAATTTATGTGGGACGGTTCTCCCACACTCCTTTACGAAAGGGGTCTTCAAATTCACATTGGATTAAATAGGGAACGAAGGTGTCTGTTTCCCATACTTTTGTTTCCGTTGGTTACCACGTCTAAAGTTAATCGGTCATTTCACGGGTGAAAACTTCTACTTCACGTTGGTTTTACATTTTCTACTCTTAGTCTTAGTGAGATTGCACGTCTTCCTGTGTGTTAGCTGCTTTTTCTCTTGGGTGAGTTTCACGAATTATTTGAACAGTATGGGAAGTGGTGGCATCTCACTGTCGTCACGTTCATGCAGACCTGGGTCTCTGCAGGCGTGTGTGGTGAGGGTAGCGGGCAGCCCAGGGGCTCTTGGTGTGAGGACCTTGTCAGGGAGAGGATTTCTGGGGCCCAGCACTGCTCTCGGGGGAGCCTGGAAACATACATTTTATGTTGGCCGGTTATTTACAGCAGCACCTGGGCCCGGACGGCTGGATTCTCAGGGGCACCAGCAGCTGGACTGTGGTAGGTTTCAACCTTATGGAGTTAGATGTTGGGGGAGCCAACAGATGGACACACACTGGAGGGGAAGAGCTGGGCGAGGGTCTGGGAGAGGACCCCACTCACTCACAGACGGGGCAGCTCCGGGTGGGCCCGACCTGACCCGGCACTGCCCCTCCCCGCCCCCACCAGGAAGGCCCCACACTTGGTGTGATGCTCTGTTCCTCCTGTCTCGAAATTTTCAGTACTTTCTTCTTTGAACTTGTGTTTTGCAAGTGAGGTCCACAGGACACCGGAGTGTGACGTGAGCAGGAGAAACACACAATATTCGTGTCCACGTGTCCACCGCTCCAGTGGCCTTTGACGTTCCTGGTGCCACGAGCCCCAACGTCCAGGGGACTCGTCTGCGTGGGAGCGCAAGGTGGGCGTGGTACCTGCGGCCGGGGAAGGGGTGGAGCGCTGACCGCCCCCAGAGGGACACGCCTTCTGTTTGAACAGGGATCCGTTTCCGAGGCACAGGGAAGCCATCATCCCCCGTCTTGCGCGCGTCACTCCCCTGGGGAGCCGACCCCTCACGCTTAGTGATGACACAGAGAGAAAGGGGAAAACAAGACACACTCGTTTCCTTCTCCCTTTAGTGCTTTGTTGCTCACCCGTCCACTAAGCAGAGGGCGCCGGTAACACGGGCGTGCGGAGAAGGGGCAGGAAGGGCACGGGATTCGTTCTGTGCAGCCCGTCAGCCGTCTGGCTGAGAGCCACGTGCAGACGCACGTGCAAGGTGCACAGTGCTGGGTGTGTGGACTCGGCGATTCTGTGCGTGCGTTACCTGCTTGTTTGTATTGGAAGCTGGCGTTGCAGGGTACAGAGATTTCTGGTGACCTCTGGCTAATAGTTTGAATTTAAATTTTCCTTCCTGCAGAACTGAAACGGCAAGTTCTTAAAATGTGGTGGCAGTTTGAGAGAAAGACAGCGGAAGAAAGGGAAGTTGCTTTATTTTTCAGTACTCTCAGGGACTTTTTGAACAAGAAGTATGCATTTTAGTTTTGCACCGAAACTAGCAAACTGGGCAGCGGGTCCAGGACTCACTCAAGGTGGGAGGCCGAGCATCTGAGGGCATCCAGGAATGTGGTCACTCTTTCTGACATCAGAACGTTGTCTTTTGGAAAGGACGTGTTGTAGACTTGTGGTTTGTTCACCTTGAATTTTGTAGCATGTTTTGCTTTGTGAATGTCTACTTTTCTCAGTTTTTAAAACAACATCAAAAAGGCATTTTCTCCCCATTAGAAAGGGAAGGGGCGTCGAACCCTGGGGCAGCTCAGTGGCCAGGGGCACGAGCCCTCTCTCCACAGGGAGGTTCGGACCTGGAATGGAAAGCCCTTCAGACTGGGAGGGCGGAGCCTGGTGTCTTTTGCTTGTTTTTGTAAGAGGGGTGATTTCCTCACATCTCTAAACAAACAAGCCAAACACTTGTTTGAAGGACCGAAAGGAATCTTGGAAAAAGCCATGATGTTTATCTGCTCTTTGGACAAGCCAGAGCGAGTCTCCCTCTGACCTACGGGGAGACGGGCTTGGGCTTCTCAGCCGACAACGTCTGCTTTGCTTCTCGCTCCTAACGTCCGATGCCCTCGCTCTGCGGGAGAGTCGTGGATGATGCGGATCAGTCCTGGGCCTGAAGAGTAGCCTCTCGTTGGCTCAGCCTGGAGAACACATGTCCATGTGCCCTTCCTGCCTGAAGACGTCAAGGAAAGAAGATTCAACAACACAAACCCTGCAGTGGGGGATCCAGCTGAGCCGCACGGCCAGGTCTGGAGACCCCCCCCCCCGCCCCGTGATGCGCCCGCGTCTCGGGCTGCAGGGAGCAGCAGGCGCGCAGAGGTTGGGTGTGGACCTGCGCGCCCCAGCGTCCTCGCCCCCGCAGTGTGCTTGGGTGTGTCCGGTACGCCACGCGTGCTTAGCAAGTGCTCGCGACTATTACAGGTGGATTAAAAAGGAGAGCGAGGCTTTGGGTTGGGAGCCACGTGATCTGGTTGAGCTGCAGGCGTCTCCCCTCCCCACCCACCCCCAGCTGCTGGACTGGACATCCCGAAGTGCTCACAGTTCCTTGACCACGTCGTGCTGTCCTCTGCCTCCGAGATGCTGGCTGCCCTTCCTGCCTTGTGATGCGCTCCCTTCCCTGCCCGCCTGGGTAACCCCTTCATTCGGTCAGCAGGCAGGTACAGGGGTTGCCGTGGACCGCCTCCGTGTCAGGCACGGGGATGCAGCAGTGAACAGAACAAGGTCCTGCCTTCGTGGGGCGCACCCTCTGCAGACTCCACAGTCCGCCCTCAGGCTGCAGCAAGCGCCTGCCTCTGGAGGGGTGTGTCCTCACACTCCCTGGGCATAAGCTGCATCCACCTCTCCCATCACACCGAACTCTCCTTAGTCCTCTGCACGTGGGCCTCGAGCGCTTAATTATTTATGATTATCGATTGCCGCCTGTCTTTACCGGATGGGCGCTTCATGAAGGCAGCGCTGTGTTGGTTCTGCCCTGCTGCATTTTTGAGCTATCAGCATATTTTTGGCTGCAAGAGAGAGATGTTTGTTGAAAGTGCCTAACTGCTTTGCTTTCGACTTGGGGTACTTGTATTTTTTCGATCTACTTTTAGCCAAAAGGTGGCACTGCAGGAGAATAAGTGAATGAGGCTTCAGCCTTGCTGACTGGACAGTCACGGAAAGGGACGCCTGCGTCCCAGCTGGATGCTCATGTTAATAACCGGAAGGAGCCAGTCCTCAGACCTGCGCACGCTCGGCGCAAACCTGCGTCTGAAATCGCTGACGAGCAGAGCCGGAAAATCACTTAGGCTCAACAGAGAATGTTAGCATTTCTAGGACCACTTAAGAGGTCCTGATGGAGTTTTAGGAAACACAGCTGGAAGCCAAACCATTCTGAAGTGTGTATTTAGTAGCTAACACACACCCATAGGGTTTAGACAGGGAGGCTTCTCCTATCTCAGTGGACGCAGGTACAGAGCGAAACTCACCCTCTTTTGTTCAGTTCCTTGCTTTGCACGACTGCATTTCACTGCCAAGTTGTTCCGCGAGTTCCAGTCCCCTCCTTAAAGACTCTTCCCAGAGTTTGCTGAGTCTTTTTGCACGAAGTGGAACCTCCAGCCTCTTCACAGGCTTCAGGAGGAAGG